TAGTACAAACAAAAAAAATAGCAAACCATTCTGTGTGGTTTGAAATATGATTAATCTCAGATTTTAGTTTTTCTGTCATTCTGGACATGCATGTGACATATTCAAAGTCAGAGCGGTTCTCAAGATTAATTGTCCAGTAGGCCTATTCTGTTGTGTTTACAGTAAAAATGTATTTGTATTTATCAAAAGCAAAAGATATTTAGCATCTTACCAAACTGAAGCTTACCTTGTTCCATTTTCCTTAATTTCTTATGCGTTGCAATCATAGAAAATGTGACAAACACAGAATCTTACAGTCAGCTGTTAATGCTGCCTTCACATGCTATCCTACTTCCCACTTTTGATATTGCAGTTACAAGTTCATCACATTCAAGTGCTCTGTTTACAGAAAATACAGGAATCATGTGCTTATTAAAACCAAAACACATAGAAGATATTTAGTCAATATGCATAGGATTTTTATTAAAGTATCCATTTAAAGATTTTCTGCACTATTCAGCTTGCTGACGATGCTGAAATTTTGCTCAAATGTGCTATTTTCGCTGTGTAGAATACATACAATTTGCAACAAACGGTTATTTATATACATATTTATACATGAATGTAGTGACAGTAGAAAGCAATGTAGGTATTGTGGGAAAAACAAATAAAACTTATCAGTACTACAGTTATGTTTCTCTCCTCATCATGTTTCAAGTTTATGGCCCGCCCAACATCAAAGTTATCTCAGAGTTTCGTACGATTTGAGAAGCCGTTCATGTCCAATTTCTGACTAGGAAACTTACGATAATTCTGATAGCAGGTGATGGCACTCAAAGATCTAGAAATACATAAATGATAAATGGTAAATAAATAAACACATTTATGTACCAATCCATTTCCCAGCATCTTTATCACTCATGAATCTGAAATAGTATCCTCCAGTTTCACATGATTTAGTCTATGGTGCAGTAATGCTGTTTATCTCGCTGAGCCTGAATTCTCTAACTGTGTGCACTTATGCACCTGCTGGTAGATGTTGTGACTACAGTTGAGGTCAAAAGGTTTTCATCCCCCTTTCAGAATCTGCTAAATGTTAATTATTTTACCAAAATAAGGGATCAAACAAAATGCATGTTATTGTTTATTTAGTACTGACCTGAATAAGATATTTCACATAAAAGATGTTTACATATAGTCCACAAGAGAAAATAATAGTTTAAATTTAATTTAAAAAAAAAAAGTTTACATCCCGTTAAGACAGCTGACTCCACTGTGATGTGACACTGTCTCTCTCTCTCTCTGTCTCTCACACACACACACACACGATGCGCAAAACTCCGTATTTGAGGGGGGCGTGGCAGAGTCTTAACTTTGATAAAGAATATCTCTTTGGTTTTGAAAACTTTTGAACAGAATGGAGATGTGTCCATTTTTATTATTTTGCCTAAATATCATATATTTTTTTCATTTAGCAGGAGGGGCAGTGTGTGTGGCAGCAGATAAAGGAGCATTCATTTTTTACAAATTTTTCTAGGTGAGACATTTAGGTAAAAATGGCTTGATGTTACTAACTGTTTTAAGTCAGCATGAAACTGAAGTTGCAATTAGAATGTTATCCCTATAGTGATTTTGTCCATTAGAAATAGACTGGATTGTTGCCGTTTGCCAACTGCTGCCATCCGATGTCAGTGATAGTTTGTCCCGCCCCCACGGACACATCATCATAAAAGAGATGACATTTTAAGAGGGATTCAAGATTATGAGGTCACATGAATTAAAAACAAAACAAAAACAATGAAAAAGAGATGTTCATGGATAAATCATTTATAATAAGCAATATCAACTTAAATATTCAATGTATACAATGCTGAGTTCAAATGCAGACTTCTCTGCATTTATTTGTGAATTGAATTTTAGCTATATCACAGTATGTGTAATGTAGCCTACTATGATCTTACTAAACCGTTCTGTTGCATGCATTCCATGTACAGTGAATTACAGTGTGGGAAACCATGATACATTTTACTCAATGAAAACAAAATAAAACTGACAGGATTAGATGTTTTCCTGTCTTTTTGTCTCTCCTCACTTTATTTAGTTTTTTTTTTTTTTTTCAAAACTATGGTGAGAACTAACTGGTAATAGGGGGTTTTATGATCCTTTAGCACATTGTAGATATATATATATATATATATATATATATATAAAGCTGCCACCTTGAATGTCTTAATGCACACATGCTCTCTTGAGATGCTCTCTATGATTTCAATAACTAAGATACTTAAAGCAACAAAAAGATTACTGTGGCACAATACATTTTTATTTTAATTTCTGGCACTTCAATGATTCACTAAGAGATGCTACTTTTTACTAGAAACACATGCTTTTATATTACTTATATTGAGAATTACAGCTGATGAAATGCTTATAAAACAATTCAAATTATTGATAATGAAAATTTAACATACTACTGTCACACCCCTGTGGACTGTTGATTGTGGTTTCTCCCTCTGTGTCCTTGTTTGGTTGTTCCTGTTCTCGTTATTAGTTAATCACCTCATTGTGCTCACCTGTCTGCCCCTCGTTATCTGCTCTATAGCTGTTCCTGTCTCTTGTATTCGAGTTGGTCGGTTATTGTGAATGTTACCCTGTGTGTTGATGTCTACCCTGTCTGGATCTCCTGCTGTCATACCATTAAATATCCTTTTATTCGTCACCCTGCCTGATCTCTGGAACACCCTGACCGTGACAACTACATAAGTTAAGGCATAATAAAGCTTTTATTGCAGACAACATTCTAAGCATCACAATCCTCCGATCCAGTCAGACACACTGATCTAAGAGCAGGTGTTTGGGAATATAATCATTTCCTGGCACTGCAATAATAGTGAAGGAACAGGTCATGATCTGAGAAAACACACAAACAAGAAAACACCAGAAATGACTACAATATAACAGCTCCTAACACTCAATCACATTAGTTGTTAAGAAATCTACGTATAAGTATATTTATATATGCATTTTTAAATACATGCAAAAAATAATGAGATCAGTTCACATAAATTCAATTACACATGAATTTGTTTACATGCAAAATTTAATTTATTTATTTATCTGTTTTATATTTTTGTTGTTTTGTTTTTTTATTTCACAAAATGCAAATATTAACATTGACACTGAGATGCATATTTCATATGCCTAAAATATACGTCCCAGAATTTCATAGTTTTAAAAAAATCTATGTATAGATAATTTTTATTCATATTTAACTAAAAATACAATGCAAATATTTTAGATTCAATTATACATTGCAAAATATTTTATTGCATTTGACAAAATGCAAAAATCATATATTAACATTTAAACAAAGCAAAAATGATCTTAGATTAACTTATATAAATTCAGTCACACATTAATTCATTTTCATTTTTATTTATTTTTAGTTATTTTATTTTATGACAAAAAAAATGCAAATAGTGTATATTAACCTTAATTTACATGCAAAATATTTTATTTTATTCATCTTGTTTTATGAGACAGATGCAAATAGTATAACAATATTTACACTATAAGGTGCAAATTGCATATGTCTAAAATATGTGCATAACCAGAAAATGAAGTTTCACAAATAAAGATTCTATATTCCACACAATGCATCACAACACACAATGAAAAGACAAAATCTATTTATCATTAGATGCATTTCTCACCTCTGCATTAGACTGCAAAGCACAGTCTGTCACATTCACACTAGCATGATTCTCGCAGACAGTCTGCGCAGCTTGTATCTGTAGCGTGTATTTAACCCGTGCAGGAGGATAGAGCTGCAACAAACACAGTATCTCATCAAATACATCAGAGTAAAGGAGCCGGATGTTATATGATGATGAACATGACACTTACCTGAGCTGTGTCTGATATGATATCCACCACTTTAAAGGCGTACGGATAGCTACTCATGCGATTGTGGACGTCCATGGCAAAGTTTGCCACATTAATGACATTATGGTTGTACTTTAGCTTCACACTGTGTCCTGAGACAATAAAAGCTGAGAAAACGGATGCAAAAAGGGTGAGAAGGCAAACCATCTCGGCAGCTTGTGAATCTGTGGGAACAAAAGCAAAGTCAAAATCATCTGGGTGTATCAGTATGAGGGTGGAAACATTAATAGCCATAAATTCCTGACGGTTTAACACACCTCTATTTATCTGCTGCATAAGAGCTTCTCTGGTTTCTGCATCCTGCTGACGGACAGACGCTCTCGCTTCAGTTAGATTCACAGACTCGTCAAAAACTAGAAGAGATGCAAAGCTTTTCCATCGCAAACCATCACAGAAAATCCATGTCATATTCTCACGTTCTTCACTGCAGCTGCATTGATGTGTTTACATCATCTGCCATGTCACATGACCAGACCGGCTGCATGCACCAGGACCCAATGCTGAATGTCCATAATATCTCCTGCTGAAAAAGACTTGAACAATTCCTGCTGGGAATAAAAACAGCTTGCTGGTTTCAGATGGTGTAAGCTGGTTCTGAGTGCCTGAAACTAGCAATCCAGACCAGTCTGATGAGTTTAAGCGGTGTGGACACATCACATCAGGCTGGTTTGAAGAGCAGGAAAGTGTTAATATTTGATATAAATAATCTGATTTTGCATGCTGCGTTAACATAAACTGTCCATTTTGCTGCTATAATCTGTGCCACTGAAATGCACGGCTGTTGTGTCTTTGAAAACAACTTCCTTGACTTTGCACTCGGCCTCAAGAGCTTTTGTTAACCCTCTGATCATTCTTGGGACCGAGGAGCTCAAACAGGCTGAAAGCGTTTTGAAGCAGAGTTTTCCCCGAGTCCATCAAGGTGTGGCGATTCTAGAAAGGTTTATGAAAGTTTGAGGTTTAACCTACCACAGCTTTTATTTTCACTCGCTTAAGAGCAGCAGCCGGTTAATATTCACTTGTTTTCCAGGTTTATGGCTGTATATTCAACATAAACAGAGGAAAGCCTCACAATCTGGAGGTTATTGCAGACCAGTGGCCAGATTTCACTCTCATTATTTGCAAACCCAAAGTTCAGGTAACTAGCCATGTTTTTTAAACCATAGTTTAACTGTGGTATTTGTAGTAAACCCAAGCATATGCAAAACTATACTTTATAGACAATGCATATGTTTGTGCGTGTCATTGTATGTAAGTGTGTGGGAGGAAGCATACAAATCATTGAGTATCTAAAAGATTTATAACAGATATAAGTATAAATACAAAAAAAATAATAATAATAAAAAAAATAATAAAATAAAATAAATAAATAATAATGACAAGACAAGTGGAGACAACAAGTATTGCAAGCGATAATGATGACAAAGATAACTATAACAACAATAATAATAATAATAAGGATTTCATTAAGATTAGGAAAGGGTGGAGGACAGTGAAGGATGCAAGTAATAGTAATGATATTATTAATAATAGTAATAAATTATAAATTAATAAATATTTAATAAATTATTAGGGTTGTCCCTAAAAAAAAATGTCTAAAAATCATTTTTGTTGACTGAAATAAATCTGAAATAAAGTAAAACAAATATTAGAAGGAAATCTTCAGCTTAAAAAATTAAATGAAAACTAAAACATGGCAACTAACTGAAAAAAAATATTAAAAAAAATAAAGGTTGAAGTTAAAGTAATACATTTATTAAAAACACAATTACTACAACAAATTAAAATAAAAAAAAACTGAAAATATACAAATAAAAGCTATTTGAATATGAATACATACTACAATAGTACATAAAAATACTAGAATAACAATGATTTAGCTATTATTTGTCAAATAGCTAAATCGATATATAAATCATGACATAAATTATATATATTTTTTACTTTATATATTTACATATACATATTATTTATTTATTTGTTCATTTATTTAACAAGTTACTTTAAAATCCAAGTGCTTTTTTTTAAACGGGGAACAAAGGATCTAAAAGGAGATTTTAACACATACAGCATCTACTCAAAGAGCAAAGACAGCCTGCAAAACTTTCTGAACACACCTGGTGTGATCAATAAACATGCATTCACATTATTAGCAGGTACACACTCTATTCGTAATCAAATTAATTGCCTGAAATAACTAGTTTTGTGACTGTGACAAAATAAAACATGCACAAACCTGTTGGCTGCCATAAAGGGGTTGACATCAGGCATTTAGAAGCAGTTCAAGAGTTTGCGGATCAACATGGTCTTCCCTGGAAAGTTCAAGGAGTGATGAATGTCTTCCTGCTGCAGGATGAACGACAGCTGCAGTTTAAAGGGGTCATAGGATGCTACATGCACTTTTACAAGTTGTTGGAACTGAAATGTGTGTTGGCAGTGTGTGTACACAACCACCCTATAATGATAAAAATCCACCCCGTGTTTTTAAAAAAAAATCTGGCTAAATGTTTTCCCCTTTCTCAAATCGAGCCGATCTCAGATGCCTGTCTGTGTGACGTCACACAGACAGGCCCCTCCCACGATAGTTTGATTGACAATAGCGTTTCAGCACAGACTGGAGTGGTGTCTTACCTTAGACACGCCCTGAGTGAGCTGTCATCAGTCCGCCATTGTTTCACCGCCAGAACAGATGTAGACAAGAATGACTCCTAAGCGATTGAGGTGTTCTGTTGTTGGATGTAATAATGAACATAGCAGTCGTCATTTACTCCCGACATCTGAGCCGCTGAAAACGCAGTGGATTACGTTTGTTTCTGAAGGGAATGCG